ACCTCCTCCCGCCCCCTCCCGTCTATGTTAGCCCCACCCTTCCCCGCCCAAAGCCGTGGCTCTGCCCAGGCGCATTACAGGGTCGGAGAATCCCCTCATCCGACAGTCAAGGAAACTGAGACTCCGAGGCCGGGACTGACCTTCTTCCAGCCCCCGCCTACCCCGACCCGTTCCCCGTTCCAATGCTACCCGTTTCCTGTCCTCTGCCTTACTCTCGCATCTCAAGACCCACCCTGTCCCCCGCCAGGTACGCCCCCGAGTCCCTGTCAGACAACATCTTCTCGCGCCAGTCAGATGTCTGGAGCTTCGGGGTCGTCCTGTACGAGCTCTTCACCTACAGCGACAAAAGCTGCAGCCCCTCGGCCGTGAGTCGGCACCTCTGGACCTCCAGCGCCCTCGTGGCCAATCCCCATCCTGCGTCCCTATTTTGCTCGGGGGCCTCCTAGTCCCAGCACCGTAGGCCCCAGTGGGGAGGACCCTCCTTCACCACGCTGACCCTCCGCATCGTAGGTGGCCCCCCCATCATCGGTGACCCTCCCCCTTCCCCCTGCACTATGGCTGACACCCCCCACGGGCGGCCCCTCCCCCCTCCATCACGGATGGCCCCTCCCCCACCACGGGCGCTCCCCCTTTGCCCCCAGGAGTTCTTGCGGATGATGGGATGCGAGCGAGACGCCCCCGCCCTCTGCCGCCTCCTGGAGCTGTTGGCCGAGGGCCAGAGGCTGCCGGCACCTCCTGCCTGCCCCGGTGAGGTGAGCGCTGCAGGGCCGGCCTCAGTTTCCCAGCCCGTAGATTCGCCCAGGGTCTGGCGTAGGCCAGCTGGCGCCTCTGGGCTTCTCAACTGCCCTTGTCTCTTGATTGAAAGCGCAGACTGTAGTTTGAGGCTGAAGGGGATCCTGGCCCGGACTTGGCCGCTCTCTCGCTGTATGCAAGTCACAAACGCTTTCAGAGCCTCAGTTTACCCATTTCCAAAATGGGAATAATATCGCCTTATAGGGTGGGAGATCAGACTAAGGAAGCCTGTGCGTGCTCAGCTCAGAGCCCAGCACACAGCCGGCACTCCACAACGGTGGCGACTCTTACGGTTTATAATCCTAACTGTGGAAGTGTCTGACATGCGGTTGATCATTCATAAGTTAATTCACTCAGGCCACAAACATTTATTGAATGCCAACTGTGTGTCAGGCCCTGTACTGGGTGCCAGGGACCCAGCGACCCAGCAGGGGAGGACAGGTACTACCCAGTCCTCCCAGTAACCAGGACATTAACAAGAACATTCCAGTGGTGAAATGATGGAGCTGGGGTGGTCATCACCACCTCCGAGTGATGCCTGCGGAGGAGGGGCCCACCCACGGGTAAAGCTGGGGGAGGACATTCCCAATGGAGGATATGGCAGGTGCAAAGGCCCTGAGGTGGGAGCGGGCTTGGGGCATTTAAGTAACAGTGAGACGCAGCAGGTGTTACTGTGTGGGACAAATGAGCTGCGGGGTAGGGATGTGGGATGGAGGGAGATGTTGGACGGAGGGCATCAGGGGAGGGGTCAAGATTTTGTTCTAAGATTCATAGGGAGCCATAGGAGGTTTTGGAGCAGAGATGGAATGGAATCTGTTTTTAAACTGAATGGGAGTCATGTCCTTTTGACTGCTCAGGCATGACTCTGTTATCTTCTCCCATCCCTCAGGTTCACGAGCTCATGAAGCTGTGCTGGGCCCCTAACCCACAGGACCGGCCATCATTCAGCACCTTGGGCCCTCAGCTGGATGCACTGTGGAGTGGGAGCCAGGGGTAGCAGCTGGGGGGGGGAGGGTGAGATCCATACCTTCCCTGCACATCCTGGGGGCAAACCCCACTCCCTGTCCTTTTTATGTCTCCCCCACACAGACTTCTGGATTTGGTCTCTGTTGACTGGCTGTGTGACTTTGGGCAGGGAGCTGTCCCTCTCTGGGCGTCAGAGGCTTCATGAGGGTCCTCTGCCTCAGGGAGACCCCCTGGTGGCAAATAACATTGCATTTGAGGGCTCCCCTGGCTTGCAGAGCAATGACAACCTCATGGTCTTTGGAACTTGTAAAAATTCAAGGCAGATCCATCAGTGGATCTGCCTCCTGAGCCCAGCCCTGAAGAAACAGGGACCACATTTCTTTTTTTATAGTTCTACAGCAAGACGCTTTATTGCTGGGGCCTCAGAGAGCCCCAGATATCAGAGGCTGGCAGTGTTCAAAGATCCAGAGGGTTGAGTCCAAACTGGCACAGCTGCTACTTATGCCAGGCATGGAGGCTCAGCACAGCCCCGTCCCACTGAGGCTGGACGGTCCTTAGCTGTGCCAAGAGCTGGTCCAGGCTGCCTTGCAGACACCAAGCTTTCAGCCCCAAGAAGAGAGAGGGCAGGGGTGAGGACTGCCCCAGGTTGGTTTGTAACCATTCCCAAGGGACCAAATTTAAGTCTCTCCCATCTTCCCATTTTCTCACTATCAGGCCCTGAATCTCCTGTCTTCGTTACAGTGGGGACATTAACGTAGCTTTAAATATATGATCTCAGAGTTCTGCCCCATCTCTCTCTCGCTGGAGGAAGCCAAGGGCGAGAACAGTTGCCGTGGTTGGGAATTTGCTTTTTGGGGGAGCCCATGTGTCTGTTTGGGATCCTGTAAGGAGGCAGGGGAGTCTGGGGTCTCAGTCCCCCCTAACTGTAGCTGAGTGTCTCCACACTTCGGTTTCCCCACCTGTACAATGGGGGCCCTCCTGTCCTGACCCTCCAAGGGTCACTAAGGGATGACACAAGAGCCTGGCGGGAGCTTTTCAGGCAGTCAGGGAAGGAAAGGCATTTCTGGCAGAGGGAATAGTGCATTGAGGATGAGGAGGCTCAGAGTGCGGAGGTTAAGAGCCCAGGCGTCGGAGCCTGCGGTTTTGTTACTTCCATGCTCTGTGATGGTGGGCAAGTTGCTTTCCCTCTCTGGGTCTCAGCTCCATCCCCTGTGAAATGCACAGAGCTGGCCCGTGGCTGTGGCCATGAAGTCAGCTTCCCAGTGAGAGGCACCTTGTGCAGGTGAACCTCCTGCTACTCTCCTCACCGGCCTGCAAAGCTTTTTTTTTTTTTTTCCTTTTTGTCTTTTTTCATGACCAGCAACGGGATCGCAACCCTCGGTGTTGCTCCCGCTCCTCGCTCAGCCAGTGAGCGGCCGGTCTGTATGTGGGATCCGAACCTTCGGCGGGAGCGCCACCACGCTTCCCAAGCAGCGCACTGTAGCAGTGCACCACCGGGCTGGCCCCCTGCAAAGCTTTTTTTACCTCCTTGTAAAACTCTTGTTCATCTCTCAAAAGCTCAGCTGTCATGTCCTGGCAGCCTTCCCTTGGTGCACCCGCATCATGATCCCAGCCCTGTCCTTCCCTCCAGCCCGACTCTGACCCTGGGGCTGGGGTCCAGCTCTGTCTCCCCCCACCCTGAGCCCCTTGGAGGCTGGGCTGAGGCCTCAACACGGGTGGGCATGGAATGGGTTCTGGGAGTGTTTGTTGAATGAATAAAGGATTTCAGTGGAAATGATGGTTTGTTGTTGGACTTAGGGTGGTGGGGACCCTCAGAGGGTGTGTGAGCCGGGAGGGATGGGGTTAGGGCTGTGGGTCAGAGATCTCTCTGGGACCACTGTGGGGGCCTCAGGGCAGGCTGGCAGGGGAGGGACAGGTGGGAGGGGCCCTTGAGGACAGAACTCCTCCCCCCCCAGTCCCAGCTGCTGGCCTTGGCTCCATCCCAAGGAAGCTGATTACAGGCTCTTGGTGGGTGGAAAGAACAGTCTGCTCTGGGGGATCAGAGGGCAAGGCAAAGTTGGGGGAGGTGATGGTACCAACATTGAGCGTTGGAGGGGACCAACATTGTGGGGGCCAGGCCAGACCCCCATGTGGTGACGAGAGAGAGAGAGGGGAGAGAGAGAGAGAGAAGGAGAGAAACAGAGGGAAGCTGAGACAGACTCAGAGACAGAGACAGAGATCTTTGTCCCTGCTCTCTTAGCCCCAGAAAGGTGGAAAGGGAGAGGGGGCTGCTCTGGTGTCAAGCAAGACCAGGTTCCAGCCCAGGTTTTCCCCTGCCTGGGTCAAGTGTCCTCCCTTCTCTCTGCCTCAGTTTCCCTCCTTGGTAAAACAGAGCCATAAAGTCCCCTGGTGCCAGGCTGACACGAAGCAGATGCTGACAAAATAAATCCTGCTTTATTCTGGGTGCTCCAGCCCCTGCCCAGCCTTAGAAGACCCCGGTGTGGGGGAGGCAGAGCTGCAGGTCACCCCCTACCTGGGGGTCAGGGGCCTTGGACCTGGGCTCTCCTCAGCCCCCTGTGACCTTGGGTGAGTCTAGAGTCCCCTCTCTGAGCCTCAGTTTTCTTATTTGTGCAGTAATAGGGACAATAAAGTTCTGAACATTCCTGGTCTCCGAGGATGTCCTCTCTGTCCCCTCCCCCCCGACTTCCTGCAGGATTATTATTTTTCAGCTATCTATTTTACCATTTTTTGTTTTTTTCGGCTGGCTGGTCCAGGGGTGGAACTCTGGACCTTGGTGTTATCAGCGCCACACTCTAGCAACTGAGCGACCCGGCCAGCCCTCACCTTTTAAAAAAAATAGACCCTTCAACCAGTGCGCCCCTTGGCGGAGGTACACCGGAGGTCCTGGCACAGGGACAGGAACCCTCGCCCTGACCCCAATCTTGACCTTCTCCCCAGCCCTCCTGCGGAACGCTCTGTCCTCCCGCCAAGGACCCCAGCTGGGGCGGTCCAGGCACCTATAAAGGGGTTCCCGCCAGGGCCGGGAGCTTCCCGCAGCCATGGATGCTCGTCTGCCTGCCTGGGCACTGGTGCTGCTGGGCCCGGTGCTGGTGCTGGCACTGGACCCCTCGCCCACCCCAGGAGCGCGCGAGCAGCTGTGTGGCCATCACTTCGTGCGGGCGCTGGTGCACGTGTGCGGGGGACCGCGCTGGTCCCCTGAGGCCGGGAGGCCTGCGGCTGGCGGCGACCGTGAGTCGGGGCGGGCGGGGACTGTGCTCTAGGGTACCCAAGTGGGGCAGGTGCTGGCGGGCGCACGCTGACCTCCCGGATCGCCTGCCGGCGGCGTCCTCACCCACGGGTGACAGAGCCCAAGGAAGGCGAGTCCCCGCTGTGCCGGCACCGGGCTGAGCGAGCGTGGCAGAGCCCTGCAAGTGCACGGTGGGGTCCACTATTTAAAATGTCAACATTTGATCTTCATAAATGTTTGCCTTAATTTTGATTTTTAAAAGTATTGCATTAAAATATTCGTCTTGATTGCTGCATTTTCTTGGTGCTTCCCCCTCCTTCCCCTAGTCCTGGCCCTGGTGCAGGGTGTGGCTACAGGTTTGTGCACTCGTGAGTTACATACTTGCATGTCCCCCTGCCACTACGGGGTGAGTGTGTCCCTCTGTGTGTACACACAGGGCTGTAGTCCTTGTGTGTCTACTTCCCGCTCTCATGTGCATGCTCATATGTCACCTGCCTCCTCTGCATCATGAAGTCTGTGGGTCTGTCTCTGACCAGGTCTGGATGCCTCGTGTGTCCTCGGACCCACTGGGAAAAGGGGCAGTGTCCGCAGCTCCAGGAACCTTGATGCTCCCTGCACAGGGCTTGGGGCTCGCAGGTGGCATGTGGGGTGTGAACAGCTGGGGAACATGAGTGTGGACATGAGTTGGGAGTGGATGAGGGGATTAAATAAACGCCTGGTATACAGTAGGTGCTTAATAAGTGCTCAGTGTTTTTATTCGTGTGCATGATGTGTTTGGTGAGTCACTCTCGCTCTATCCTCAGGTGAGCTGCTGCAGTGGATGGAGGGACGACATCTCCTCCATGGGCTGGTGGCTGATGGGGACCCCGCCCTGGTACCTGGCCCGCAGCCCCTACCCCAGGCCTCTCACCATTATCGCCACCACCGAGCAGCTGCCATCAACCCTGCACGCCACTGCTGCCTCAGTGGTTGCACCCAACAATACCTACTGACTCTCTGTCCCCACTGACCTTTCCTTGGGGACAGCCAGGGGAGACCAAGGCCCAGAGGGGCCTGATCTGGTGAGCTCTTGAGTCCACACAGCACCATAAAGTCCCACATCTGGGGGGACTGTTGATTTCCACCACCTACCCCAAGCCAGTGCCATCTGTATACTGTGGAGTCAACTGGGGAATAAAACACACCCCAACCCTGACTTGAAGGGTCCTTGGTTTTACAAAGATGCCAGACACTGAGGGCCAAATGTCCTCACCCTAGAGGAGCCCCAGATGCTGCCTTCCCTGGATTGTGACTCCCCTTCCTGCTGTCTTCCCAACAGTCAATAAATAATCTAAGCAGCATCTTGTGTTTTCTTTAGAAAAAGAAACAATCCCAGGTCAGTCCCTGTGCGGGCTTTTACCCTGGCAGCCATGGACCTACTTATGGGAGCTTGATAACAGCTTGAGAGTCATCACAATGTAAAGCGGGGAAACTGAGGCCCAGGAAGAGGGCTGCTTGCCAAGATCTGACCGGTTGGGAATAGCTAAGTGTGGGACTTGAACCCAGCTCTCTACCAAGGCCCACAGGAGTGTTCTTTTTATTTGGTGGCTGGCCAGTATGGGGATCTGAGCCAGTGACCTCAGTGTTACAAGGCTGCATTCTAACACACGCGCATTCTTAGCCTCAAGGCTCTAGAATGGTGGACACAATATACAAATGTCGTCTGAATGATAACCACAGAGGCCTTGATCCAACCTCAACCCTTTCTCTCACCACATCCTCCCTTCACCCTGTGATAGGGATTGTATGATATGACCCCCTCATGAGACTAATCAAGCATTTGACTGTATGTCCCATTCACATAGTTTCTAGGGCTGCCATAATAAATAACCATAAGCTGCGTGAATTAAAACAACAGGATTTGATTCCCTCCATTTTGGAGACCAGAAGCCCCAAACCAAGGTGTCAGCAGGGCTGGCTCCTTCTGGAGGCGCTGAGGGAACATCTGTCTCAGGCCTCTTTCCTGGCTGGAAGTTGCTGGCAGTCCTTAGGGTTCCTCGGCTTGTGGCTGTGTCACTCAGTCTCTGCTTCCATCATCACATAGCCTTCTCGCTGTGTGTCTGTGTCCTCTCTTTTTATAAGGTCACTAGTCATTGGATTTAAGGCCTGCCCTAATCCAAGAAGACCTATTCTTGGTCTTTACCTTAATTCCATCTATGAAGACTTATTTCCAAATAAAACCATATTCTGAGGTTCTGGGTGGACAGGAATTCTTGTGGGACACTATTCAATCCAGTGGAGCAGAGGAACTGAGACTCCCTCAAGGGTGATGGGGAGCCACAGAGGGTGTGTGAGCAGGAGCAGGATGAGGTCAAATGTACCGGTTAGAAGTCCTCGCAGCTCCCACCGCATCCAGGCCTGGTTTCTCTTGCTGCCTCCCCAACTCTACCACCACGGTCCCCACAGAAGCCATTTCTAAGCTTCTGAAAATTAAAACTCAGTCATGTCATTATCTTGCTCCAAAAGTGCCATCACCCTCAAAACAACACCTTCTCACCCAGCCCAAAAGGCCCCATATGCCCGGCCCCTGTGAACTCCTGTCCCCTTTTCATCCATCTCTTCCTTGTTAACCTCACTCTAGCCACAGCCTCCTCGCTGCTCCTCAAATGCTCATGGCTCATCCCACCACAGGGCTTTTGCACGTGCTGTGTCCTCTGCCTGCAATGCGTCCCAAGTCATCCCCAAGGCCATGTCCACCTGCTTCCTTCTTCAGGACTCAGCTCAGACATTACCTCCACAGTCCTGGCTCCCTGACCTCCCAGCTAATGCTTGACCCTACCACTCTGTATCCTACCACCTCATTTTATTTTTAATTTTTTTAAAGATGACTGGTAAGGGAATCTTAACCCTTGACTTGCTGTTGTCAGCACCACGCTCTCCCGAGTGAGCTAACCGGCCATCCCTATATAGGGATCTGAACCCATGACCTTGGCGTTATCAGCACCACACTCTCCCCCAAGTGAGCCACGGGCCAGTGCTCTACCACCTCATTTTAATTCCCCTCAAAAGTCTTACCGCTTCTTGTAACTTCCTACTTGATTGCTTACAGGTTTGTTTCCTCCAGGTCAGTATTGGCGGTCTTGTCCCATGAGAGAGAGGAAGGGTACAGGACAAGATGCATAGCACACAGTAGGTGCACAATAAATACTTGAGGAAGGGAAGGAAGGATGGGAGACAGACAGTAGCAGAGCCATAGTCCCAGCAGAGGGAGGTAAGCCCGGTGAGGAGAGAGGAGGTTGGGTGGCAGCCAGGATGGGACTCACAAAGGATCTTGCTGGAAGCAGGAGACCGAGGTGGGCCCAGTGTCCCACCCAGCCGAGAACAGTCTCACCCATGTGCCTCTCCTGAGACTGCTGACAAGCTGGCAGCAAGAATCAGTCTTGGGGCATATGAGCTGAGGGCAATAGGGAGCCATGGAGGGTGTGTGAGTAGGGGTGGGACACGGTCAGATCTGTCTGATAGAAACCCCTGTAGCCTTTACCTCATCCACGCCCTGTTTTCACTGATGTATATTTTCTACTGGAAATGAGACTTTTAGAAATAAATGTAGACTAGTCTCTGTTAAAACATGGAAATTGCAGGGCTGGCCCGGTGGCGCACTGCTACAGTGCACCGCTTGGGAGTGTGGTGGTGCTCCCGCCGAGGGTTCGGATCCCACATACAGACCGGTTCCCGCTCACTGGCTGAGCGAGGTGCGGGCGCGACACTGAGGGTTGTGATCTGTTGCCGGTCACGAAAAAAGACACACAAAAAAACCCAAAACCAAAAAACAACCCCCCCCCCGAAACCTCCATGTCTTCACAAAACTTTTTATTCCCCAGTGATCCACTCCCCAGACTCCCCCCACCACAATGCCTGTGAAGCCTGAGTCCTGGGCGCCTGCCTGAGGCTGGAGGCTGCAGGGGGTCACTGGCTCGCTTGGACCTCACGATCTGTGAAACACGCTGGGGTGGGGGCCACCTGAGAACCCAAAGTTCCCTCTTCTCTGAGCCTGGGGTGTGTGCCTGTTGGCTTTGGGCCCACTGAAGACCCTCCAGTCCCAATGCCGTTCCCTGAATTCTTGGGGAGTGCAGGTATGGAGTCCTCCCAGGGACTCAAGAAACTCTGGGCTCCGACAGCCTTAAGGTGCCTCCCTCCTCTGCCCCACACTTCCACCATTAGAGCACTTGATACCACAGGCAGGACAGGGCAGTCCCGTTCCATGGCCTCTCTGGCCCCTGCCACCATTTGAGGAATCCAGAACAGGAGACCTTTCCTGGGCTGAAAAATATGTCTCACTTCAGCTACACGTGGACACAGGAGTTCCTTGAACCATGTCTGGAACTCATCCACCATTAAAGCATTGTAGGCTCACTAGCAAGGAGAGGCTGGCCACTGCTTAGGGTCCAGTCTGTGACTAAGGTCAGGGCCTGGAAGTGGGACCCAAATCGGACAGATGTGTCCACCTTGCAGAGGTGCTTCTGCCACTAGCCACTACGGAAAGGGATATTTTCCAGGGGTTTCTCCAGGCAAGAGTCCAGAGACGACGCTGGAGCATGGTCTGAGCAGTACCTGCTGGGTTTTGAAGGATGTGTAGGAGTTCACCAGCCAGGATATCCTCTCATCCAACCTTTCCTGGCACTCCCCTATGCCCAGCCTCCTTAAGAGGACAAAGGTCTCAACGTCCTAGAAGGAAGGTGCTGCCCCTCTCTATGGGGGTGGAGATAGAAGCCAGATGCTGGGGACTTAACACTGCCTCAGTAGACCTGCGTCCGTTTGCCGCAGCTGAGGTCAGCCTGGCTCAGCGCATCCCACATGAGCAGCATCTCATAGGGCAGGAAGCGGTGCACCAGCAGCAGCTCCCGGTAGAAGCAAGGGTCGAAGGAAGACAAGCGTGCAGAGGGCGCGTGCACGCCGGCCGTGCGGATGCCACTGTGCGAGCCGGGCTTCAGTCCCTCCAGCTTCAGGCACATGCCCAGGAACACGTCGTCAATGGGGAAAAGGTCCAGGACACGGGCAGCCCGGCGCAGGGCAGTGGCCGTGAAACGGGACAGCAGGAAGCCACCTCCACCACAGTAGGGAGGGTATTTCTCCTCCTGGGTCACCACCGTCGGCACATAGTACTTGCTGTATGAAATCCGGATGGGGCCCACATTTTGGATCAGGTGCCCCACGAAGAGATGGCGGTCGGGGTCATGGCCCTGCAGGTAGGAGACCATGTTTTCTGTGTGTGCAAAGACATCATCGTCCCCATTGAGCACGAAGCTGGCGTTGGTACACCTCGTCTCCTGCCACTGTAGGAACAGCACCTGTGGGCAGGTTGGATGGGGCACGCTGGCTTGAGGGCTGGAGCAATTGGCCTTGGGTCCCTCACCCCAGCCCAGTGAACCCCGGAAAGGATGTGTTCCCCAGTCAGAACAGCTTGGGTTTGAGGCCCTACCCTATGGGGTGACCTGGGCAACTGACTGCCCTCTCTGTGCCTCAGTTTCCAACTTTTCAGACAGGTCTCATTGTAGGATTTGCCTCTAGGAGTATTAGGAGCCCTTGATCCCAGGCCTCTCTGCACCTACTATGAGCAGGAACAACACCGTGCCCCTTGTCAACACGTCTCTACTCAGGTCGCTCTACCTGCCAACCTAGGTGGGTCTTTGGAAACTTCAATTCCTTGTCTGCAGACGGACAGGACTTTATCCACCTTTCATGGTCTCTTACCCATCAAGAAGGTCTTTATTGGGCACCTACTGTGCACCAGGACCTATTCTAGCCACTGGAACACTGTAGTAAGAGAAACGGATACAGACCCCTGCCTCATGGGAGACAGACCACAATAAATAAACCAGGAGCTGTGTCCCCCTGTCATAGCCAAGGTTAGTTAAGTGCCAGGCACTGGTCCAGGTGCCTTATAAATACCATTTCATGTAATCCTCACAGCAGCCCTCAAAGGTGGCCTAATTCATATCCCATTTGCCAGGTGAGGCAATGGAGGCACAGAGAGGTCAATAAACTCCTTCGAGTAAGAGGCAGAGTCTGGATTCGAACTCGTGCCATCGGGCTTGAGATCCATGCTGGTAACCTCATGCCCCTCTTCCCTTCCTCCAGCCTCCCCTAGAGGAAGAGGACTTCAGGTCACCCCAAGGCCAGTGAAGACAATGGAGGGGCAGGACGGGGCAGGACGGGTCAATGGGGGTCTCTGGGCCCCCAACCCCCTCGGAGGAAAGGGTAGTAATTTAGGAAGGAAGGACATGTGGCCCTGGTCAGGGGACCCCAGTCCGGCCCACCTGCTTGAGCGTGAGGTTGAAGAAGGAGTCGTGGAAGTCCCACTGCAAGATGTCACGGTGCGTCCGTGCCTCCAGCGCTAGCAGCCGGTTGACCTTGCGGGCCTCATGTGGGCTGGGGTCGGTGCCAACCAGGAAGAGGCGGCGCAGCTGCAGGCCCTGCACGCTGCGCTCACGGCCCCACGTGCGCCGCAGCAGCTCCCTGCGCTCGTAGTTGCTGGGTGAGGACTTGATCGCCAGCAGCAGGAAGACGGGCTGCGAGCACTTCTCCAGGGGCACATCCTGCAGCTGCGGGAAGTTGCGGCAGTGTCTGTACAGCAGGAAGTTGCGGATGTGCTGGGGCTGCTGGGCGAAGTCTGGGAGGTCGGCCATAGAGGTGTTGGCATGGCATGGGGTCGGGGGTGGACGGGCAGGCGGGGAGGTCCAGGTCAGAGTCTCAGGGGTACCTGGGGGCTTCTCAGGGACTGCGCAGGTGGGTGGTGACACATGCAGACTGAAGAGAAGCAGGAGAGTGAAGGCACCCACAGCCAGAACAAGGCCCTTGTTGGGCCACCTGGGACGGGAACACTTCATTCTGGCCAGCCCGGGTCTGGGGTGTGTTGGAGGAGCCCCCTGGGCAGCTCCTGTGGAGAACAATGCTCACTGAATGCTGGCCACGGGCAAGGTGCTTTCCCTGAGCTACCCGGTGGGCCCCAATACCTGGTTGCACTTGTACGGTTGCCCAGGTTGGCAAATACTGAACTTCACCACTGAGTTGCAGGATCCCCTTCAGCACCCCAAACCCATAGTGGCTCTGACAGGTGCCCAGGCCCAGCTGGGGATTAAATGCTTTTACCGTCACCTCATTTTTCAGGGAAAACTGAAGAACAGAGATACCAAAGTGGGCCCCCAGGCTAAGAATGCCCAGAATCCACTGACCCAGTGTGGTCCTCCTCGTGTTCCTTCCTTAGAGATGGCTCAGGAGCCTCCCTGAGGTAGGCGAGGATCTCCTGTCTTATCAGAGGAGAGCTGCAGGGGTCCTTCCTCTTGTCTTTCCCCTGCCCCTCCAGGAAGCTCTGAGCTTCTGGGCTTCTGATACAGCCATCACCCATCTGTCCTGATTGTTCCTAATGGGACCTGGCACTGCACAGACCCCCCAGGCCCAGCACATCTCAAACGAAGCAGTCTTCCTTGGCAAACTCCTACTCCTCCTTTAAAATCCATCTCAAATGATCCATTCTCCAGGAAGCCCTCATTGACCCCTCAGGAAGAGTCTTGGCTCTGTTTGGCACCTCCAATCCCCAATCCCCCCTCTGGCCCAGTCCTGATCCCATGTGGGTGTCTGTGTCTGGCTTTGTCTTCAGACTGGGGGCAGGGGGCATCTCGGGGGTCCTGGCATTGCCCAGCATCAGGCAGACACATGGGAGAGGAAGGGAGTATTTGACGAATTTATGAATAAAAGTGAATTCATTCAGTTTCCTCTCTGGAAAACTCTTATGCTTCCTTCAAATCCCCAGCTCTAATGGCCCCTCATCCTGGACGTTTCCCCTCCCCACATCCAGGCAGAGCTCTTGATCTCCCTCCCAGATCCTTCCCCCAGGCTTCCCTGGACTCCCGCAATGTCCTTTTGTCTGGGAAGGTGGTATCTGTGTTGTTCTCAGCCCTGAACTGGAGATCTACTTTCCACTGCAGCATGAAAGTGCTAGATTAGACTCAAGGCAGGACTTATACCTAGAGGTACAGAACAATTCAGCACTTGAGAGCACACACTTTGGAGTCCCCTTCCTGCATGTGAATCTTGACTCCACCACGTCCTGGCTGTTTGCCTCCCATACCTGGGGTCTTGGTTCCTGTAAAGGGAGCATCCACCTGAGCAGTCCTCAACTCACAGAGTTGTGTAGGTATGAAGGGCTCCCAGTGCCTACACCTAGTAGGCACTCACAAGTGTTTGTTGTATGAATATGTGAACCTCAGCACTTACCTTGGGCTGCCTTGGGGTGTCCGTGCTGAGCTGATGTCTCCTTCGTTTCCCCAATGGCACCTGGAACAGTGTCGGGCAGTCAGTGGGACCTACTGGGCCCCTTCAGTCCCAAGTAACCCCACCCAGCTATTGCCTATAAGCAAGGGAGAAGGCAGATTCCTGTTTTCATCTGGAGCCACAATTTGTGTCTGAGCTGAGGCAGGGCCTCTCTCCCTGTTCCATGCAGCCATTTCCCTAACATGCTCCTCCCTGCCTCTGTGTATTGCCTGGCTAAGGCTTCCTGGGCCAGCTGTGTATTTACAGCCCCAAAACAGGGCTCAGGTTCCACCCCACAGGTTCTGCTGTGTGACCTTTGGAAAGCAGCTTGATCTCTTGGAGCCTCATTGTAAAACAGAAAGAATCAACCTATCTAAAAGTATTGTGGGGATTTTATCCTTTGACATGCTGGGCATGGTCCTGCCCCAGGACCTTTGCACAAGCTGCTCTCTCTGCCTGGAACACTCTTCCCTAGGTGTCCACACAGCTCCCTCCATCACTTCCTTCCTGTCTTTGCTGAAATGTCCCCTTCTCAGGGAGATCTCATGGGCACACTATCTCATTGGCAGTCCTGACCCCCCAGGACTTTTTCTTTTTTCCATAGCACTTGTCACCTCCTAAATACATAATAAAACATCAAAAAATGTATTGTTTCTTGTCCATTTCTCCCCACCAGAACATGAGCTCCTGTTTTGTTCACCATTTTATCCCTAGCCTCTAGGACAGTGCTTGGCACATAGCAGGTGCTCAATAAATGTGTCTTGAATAAATGAATGCATGCTGGGTTGCTACAGCATCTGAAAAAAATATTGACTCTCAGAATGAATTTATACATATGTTCATACACAAAAGTCCCTGCTACTGTGAAGCCCACATTCTTGAGGGGGAGCAAACACTAAATAAATAACTCAATGGATCCCCTTACTGGCCAGCCACCAAAAAAAAAAAAAAAAAAAAAAAAAACTAAATGAACCCCCTAGCTGCCCACCCCCAAAAAAAAAAAAAAAAAAACTAAATGAACCCCCTAGCTGCCCACCCCCAAAAAAAAAAAAAAAAAAACTAAATGAACCCCCTAGCTGCCCACCCCCAAAAAAAAAAAAAAAAAAAAAAAAAGATAACTCAGTGAAGGATATGGGGAGACAAAAGCCAAGGGAGGAGATGGAGTCTGGTGGGTGGTTTTGATTTTGCAGGCTGGGTGACATTTGGGCGGAAACCATTTCCTTGCTATGGTTTGAGTGTTTGTTTTCAGAACCCATGTATTGAAGGCTTGATTCTCACTGCAGAGGGGCTGGGAGGGGCTTGACTCATGGAGGTGGAGCCCTCAGGAATAGACTAATGTCTTTGTGGTGGGAGTGACTTAGTTACCAGGAGGGCAGGTTGCTGTGCTGGGAGCCCACCCCATGTGTTTTTGCTCATTCCACACATTTGCTCACGTTTCCACTTTTCTGTTGTGTTATGATGCAGAACGAAAGCTCTTGCCAGGAGCTGCCACCATGCCTTTGGACTTCCCAGCCTCCAGAAATGTGAGCCAAATAAACTTCTTTATAAATTAACCAGTCTCAGGTGTTCTGTTATAGCAACAGAAAATGGACTAAGAGAGATGTGAATGGCAAGCAGAAGCCAGCATGGCTGAGGTCTTGCGGAATGCAGTCCCAGGGTGGAAACAGCAGGTGCAAAGGCCCTGAGGCAGGAAAGAGCTGTTTGAGCCTGAGCAGCTAAGGAACCCTGCATGGCACAGAGAGCCTGTCTTGTTGCTGTCATATCCCCCACTTGGCTGCCAGCTCTGGGGGCTTCTGGAGGGCAGGTCTGGAAACCCCAAAAAGCAAATAAGAAAGATCTTGTAATGAGACCGTGAATGAGATGCAAGAAGGAACTGAATCCTAGAAGGAGATTTTCCTGAGCCGAAGGGAAATCCAAATCTGGGCTGGACGACAAGAAAGGAGTGCTCCCAGCCAAACCTGGCAAAACCCTGAGTTCCAAAGATGGGAAAAACCTCATGAGCTTCAGTAGAAAGACCAAGACACCAAAAAGGAGATCAAAGGACAGAAGCCTCAGCATTCTCCTGGGCCACACTGGCAGCCAGAGACCCACAGATGCTCGAGACAAGGGGCGCCAGGGAACCTAACTTCTGGGCATGGGATAAGGAGGAAGAATCAGGACATTAAGGACTTGTGAAACTTAGAGGGTGATTCACCCTTGCCCCATTTGCAGTTTACAACCGAAACCAGTGGTTCTCAACCAGGCTGATTTTGCCCCCAGGAAACACTTGTCTGGGGACATTCCTGGTTGTCACGACTTGGGCAGGGTGTGGAACTGCTAATGGCACTAGTGGGTGGAGACCAGGAATGCTGCCTGACACCCTACAATGCACAGGACAGCCCCTCTGCCACAGCCATCCCCAAATGTCAACATTGTCAAGGTCAAGAAACTAGAAGAGAGAACTCAAGGTGAGGTGTGATCAGAGGAGGAAAATCAGGGTCGAGCAAAGTTGCATAGAAATTCATCATATGAGGTATTTATTAGATTTATCATTGTTTGCTTATACATGATGTACACAATTATTAAATAGAAGATTAAACCTAAATGGCTAAAGATCAGCTCACTGGGAGAGTATTTTTGTAAGTTCCAAATAAGGCCTTGAAAACAAAGGAAGCTATCTCAGAAAATACGATTATTTACAACTCAGCAAAACCTGGCCGCGGGGGAGGGGAGGGAATGACAGGAGATAAAGCCACTAAACGTCTCATATTACTGGGATCCAGGCATGAGGGCTAAACAGAACCTCCTGGGGCTGCTGTTTGGCTTTAATTAATTCCATTAACACCTGCTCTTTTCCTCGCATTCTCCTTTCTTCTTTATTTGTAAGAATCCTTTGCATAGAAAACACAGTAGCTGCCTCCTTATCTGCGGTCTCATTTACCCATGGTCAACCACAGCCCGAAAATATTAAATGGGACATTTCAGAAATAAACAACTTATAAGTTTTAAATTGTGCGCTATTCTGAGCAGTGGGATGAAATCTCACACTGTCCCGCTCCGTCCCACCTGGGACGTGAATCTTCCCTTTGTCCAGCGTGTCCACACTGCAGATGCTAGGTAGTCACTTAGTAGCCGGTCATCAGATCAACTGTCAGGGGAACATGTGTTCAAGTCACCTTGCTTGACTTAATAATGATCCCAAAGTACAAGAGTAGTGACCCTGGCAATTCGGATATGCTCAAGGGAAGCCGTAAAGTGCTTCCTTTAACTAAAAGGATCAAAGTTCTTGACTTAATAAGGAAAGAAAAAATTGCACACTGGGTTTGCTAAAATCTACAGTAAGAACGAATCTTCCATCTGTGTAGTTCTGAAGAAGGAAAAAGAAATTTGTGCTAGTTTTCCTGTTTGGCCAAAGCTGCAGCCGCAGGGCGTGGTAAGCGCCTCCTTAAGATCAAAAAGGCATTTGGGCCGGCCCGCTGGCACACTCGGTCGAGTGCGGCGCTTGGGAGTGTGGCGGCGCTCCCGCCGAGGGTTCGGATCCCATATAGAGACCGGTCCGCTCACTGGTTGAGCGCAGTGCGGGCGCGACACCGAGGGTTGCGATCCCGTTACCGGTCACGAAAAAAGACCAAAAAAAAAGGCATTAAATGCGTGGGTGGGAGACACCAACAGACATGCTTTTTTTTTTTTTTTTTGGCAGCTGGCCAGTATGGGGATCCGAACCCTTGACCTTACAAGGCTGTGTTCTAACCAACTGAGCTAACTGGCCAGCCCTCAGACATGCTTTCTGATGGACAGCACTCAGGTTCCATACTATCCGCGGTTTCAGGCATCCGCTGGGGGTCTTGGAGCATATCGCCCACAGATAAGGGGAGACTACTGTACTCCGTGTGGGCTGCCTCTCTTTCTCCCCAGGTCTATGGTTTCTCTGCATGGAAGGATTCTCCATCAGGTTCCTGGGGGTGGGGAGTGGGGGTGCTGAGCGTCTCAAGGGGTGTTGGAAGGAAGGGCTTTGCTTCCCTCCCAGTACACTTAGATCTCCATTAGTGCAACCAAGATCCTCTTCCTCTTTCCATCCACAGCCCCCACTGAACTCATGGTCCCTTATAGCCTTAAGCAAGAAATGTTGCTATCCTCAGAGCCACCCACATCCGGACTGACATGACAAACAACTTCCAGCCTCCCTTTCTGTGAGGCTGAGCTTGCTGAGGATTCACTGGGGACATGTACCTTATTTTGCTGAAAAGTAGAATTTGGAGAGGGAGTGATTTCTGAGGCTGGGTGGGGGTGGGAGCTGGGCTGTGTAAAGACTTTGAATGCCAACTTGAGAAGTTGGCTGTCTCCTGGGGGTGATGGGGCACTACGGAGCTGTGTGAGCAGGAATGGGCGAGGTCAGATTCATTGCTGAATAGTCCCTCTGGGGCCAGCACAGGCCAGTCTGGACTTGGGGAGCCCAGGACGAGGGGGAGATAGAAGCTCAGGAAGAGGAGGAGCAGATCTCAGGGTGGTTGGGAAGGCAGGAAGGAGCCCCTCCCCCAGTCCCAGGCCAGGTAAGGACCGCGCCTCATTTTCAGAGGGGCAAAGTGGGGCTCAGAGTTGGTACGTGCTGCAAAGAGAGTGAACTGGGTTCAAGGCTTGAGGCCTTCGAGAAAGTCCCCGGGGGAACCCCGATACCCCTCCCAGACCTTGCCCATCCCCCAAGGGCATCCACACTCTGAGGGGAGAACCTCAGCCTCACATAGTGTCAGAATTTTATCCCATCCTGGAAGCGTCCAGGACCTGCGTGGGTGTCGGGCAGAACCGAGCTCAGGGTTAGAGTCTTGTTTTGCCCTGAGTTAACCTCTGCAAGTCAATTCCTCTTTGGATTCTCAGTTCCTCATTAGCACATGGGGGTGCTGAGACATCCCTCCCACAACAGGTGACAGGCTCAGTGACACTCAGTTCATTTTCCTGGCTATTTCTACCCCTTCAGCATCCCCCACTTACAGATGGGCACACTGAGGCTCAGTGTGGAGTGGGAACAAGATTGGAACCCGGGAT